GGAAACGTAATAAATTACTAAAATTTCTATTTCTGTACTTCGTAATAAAAAGAAAAGGATTTTTGTTAACGGTTTGTATATTTATGAAACACTAACCGAACAGCATTTTCATCTTTTCAGCTACTTATTACAATACACTAACGGTGTTACTCTTAATATTTATTTTTATAACACTAGCTAGCAATAAGAAGAAATACTAAGGCGTAGTTTATTTTCTAAACGCCAAATTAAGCAAATTTTAAGGGGTTGGTATATTTATGATACGCACTGTATGTATGGATTGGATGATTGCAAAAGTTCGTGCCCGATTTGAAAATAAAACGCAATCGAAATGCATAATTATTCGAAAATAAAACACAAGCGGTCTATCTTTCGATAGGAATGTAACATTACGCTAAAAGAAACAACTGTGCCGAAGTCGATAAGGTTCTCACCACCTCTGAAAATCGGGCACGAACTTTTGCAATCATCCAATATATTAGAATACATCTACATAAGTACGTATGTATGCCTGGACTGTGGTTGTCTGTATGCATATCTAAACCATGTCTAAAATGTAGAAAATATGATATAAGAATATAGGTATTCAGAATAATATGTCTGACACAGTTGAAAAATCGCGTTCGGCATTCTAAATTCAAGAAATGGTAATTTTATCCAATTTCAACAAAACACGTAACCTGTTTTTTGCATTAGTACGATATGGACAGAATTCGCTTGAAAACTATCGTGGTATTCTCGTACAAAGTTACTATTTTTTATGAAACCATTTAAAGAAGCACTTCTGGACATGTATTTACATAACTTCTTTTTTTTTTCCTTCAATTTAGAAACAGACTATATATTAAAGAATTAGTAACCTGTTGTATTCCGTGGCTCGCGATTCCTTGCGTTGGTTTATTACAGTCTGTTCCACAAAAGCGTGGACGCGATATTTTCGAAACTTGAGGTCAATTGAGGGAGAGATTGTGTTAGCATAAAAATATGAAGTTCCCTCTGTTACGCATTAGCTTTAAATCTCTTGGTATCGTTTTTGTTACTGAGAAATACGGACCTTTTCGAGATGAGTGCCGTGTACGCCACACGTTTCGAGGCAGTCTTCTTGTGTTATCACCCAAAAGGGCGAAAAATGAGTGTTAAAAATGCAGAAAAATATATGCATTAATCTCGTGAAATCGTTAATAAGTAGATACAACGATATAAAGGAACTGAATGTTTCGATGACCTCCCTGATCGAGATTGGCACCACGAAAAGGGAAGATAAAGTGATCTTCCGGTTATTTTCAAGGAATCCAACATTTTGCTTGCCTAAAGACGGTTATTTTCAAGGAATCCAACATTTTGCTTGCGTAAAGGGCAAGCTTTTTTGGTGAAAAGGGTATAAATATAGGGATTTTGACAATAAAAGGTCGCTTGACAGAAAATAATGTTTGATGATTAAATAAGAATGTAACAGATTGTATTAGAACGAATTAGGAAGCGTGTAGTTCATAAGGACGGACCAGAAAGGAACGACGCGCCAACGACGAACGAATATATAGCTTTCAACATCCGTTTAAGCATCCTGACAAATATTATTTAGACCAGCCAGCCCTTACACCTCTCAATTAACTTCATCACTTTACTTCTCTGTTGCGTCGTGGACTTTTGTTGTATTCCGCGGCTCGCGATTCCTTGCGTTGGTTTATTATATTCAATAGGTACGCGGTAGGAGAGCCTGACGGAAACTGGGGCGAAATAAGGGAGCTGTTCTGCGCGTAGTACTATTCGACTTTATTAGACAGTTCGGTGACGTTCGGTGCGTGAAGACCACTAGACAAAAATCTGCTGTTTCGACGGAAAAGGTTTCTAGATATAGGTTCGGTAAGTACGAGAGTAGGGGTTGGTCTCAGAGGTCAATGTAGGGAGAGGCGGTGAGGTCTAGGTTCAGCGATGAGTAAAAGTAAAGGATGATGTGGAGGTCTAGGTTTCGGGGTGACTAACGTTAGGATGATGTACAGTTAAGGAAAGGAGGCAGGATGACTAAAAACTAATGAAAGATCGGAGAGAGGTATACGACAAACCACGAAAGAATCAGAACAATTTTGTCATCTTGCAATTGTAGTTAAGGAAAGGAGGCAGGATGACTAAAAACTAATGAAAGATAGGAGAGAGGTATACGACAAACCACGAAAGAATCAGAACAATTTTGTCATCTTGCAATTGCCTTAATTAGATCGTATCTAATAATTAAAAATCAGTGTGTTATTTATCAGTGCAGAACGATATTTTGGCTTTGAACGAACAGTTTCTGCTGAATTACACGTGCAATTATTTTATGTAACGGTCAACTGAACAAAATTTCTTAATGCCTACGCGACACATTTGTGATGGATTTCTGACGAACAGTGGACGTGATCACCTGTCACTTTCATTCCTACGTCTGAGCAATTATGTCATCAATTTATACCATGCTGCTTCTTTCGCCGCGTATTTTCCAGATATGTATCGACATGTATCGACCACCTACGGAGTCGGTATTTCTAAGAGAATGACCGACAATTATCGTGGAAGGCACTTATGTAATATTCTTTCCGTGAAAATTTACAAGTATGGAAGAAACACAAAAATATCGCATTATTCCCTTCATTTTTGCTTCGCCATTAAACTTGTACGCCTCCGTAAATGTCACACATTCGTATCCCTCATTTTGGATAATTCGATCACTTTCCTCTATTGCGCCACTCAAACAGAAAGTAAATCTTTCGTAAGCGAAAGTAGGAAAAACTGGTAAAGGAAAAACTTAAACGGTTTAACGAAATCCACATTTCTTTGATATAACTGCGTCTGCAAGTGTAATAATCTACATGCAGTATGGAATTACTACTTTGCATTAAATAATTGGTCCTTCCAGATATTTCGCTTACAAAGTACCAGAAAAAAGTCACATTTTTATCAACTCTTAAACATTATTTGTACATCTATCATAACACTATCTCTTCCTTTGACCTTCTTCTTTTAAAATAGGGGAAATTTTCCAACGAAACCTCGCCTCTCCTGGGGACTCTTTTTTCTAACCTAACTTTCTTTCGACGTCAGATTTCCGATGTTCATTTGTTTGATTTTTGTCTTGTAGTGTAACAGAGAAACCCACACTTCAGTCACTTAATTATGCAGATTTAGCCTCGAACGTTTTTTATGTTCTTATATGTAATACTAGAATGATTGGCCGGGTCAAAATGACCCATTAGCGACTTTCCAAAAGAGAATTCTTATGAAACTGAAACGTGATTAAAAAATTAAATTCATGTCGATAAAAATAGAAGTGTACGTGTAGAAAATAAAGTCGGGAAGTTGCTTAATTTGTTTTTTAGGGAAGGTTGCTAATGGGTCATTTTTGACCCAACCGGTCGTTTCAGCGTTAAGATTCTGTTTATGAGGTTCGTTAATGTAAATTCAACTTAATCAGAGTGGTTTTTATAGTTAAGTCTCGGGAAGACCAGAAATTTTTTACATTATCAGCAAGATAGAGCACCAGCTCTTAGTGCTCAAGTTGTATTCAGTTATTTAACAGGAGTTTACCAGGAGAAATAATTTGGCATCCGTAGCCCTTTACCTCAGCTACCGAAATCACTCGATTTAAACCCACTTCATTTTATGCAGCTTTTTTAAAGTTGAGGTTTATTCACTTCTTTGAGTTTCTATGGATAGTTTTAAACACAGAATTAACATTAATCGTTTAAATTTAAATGACTCACAATTCAATAATGGTATGAGAATGTTATTGCAATAAAATGATTTTATCTTGTAAATTAATAACTTTTGCTCTTATTATTCTACTACCTGTGTACGCATAATGCTTGAAAAAAATCGATTACGTGTGTAGACAATAAGTATGTAGTTCTATTTATAAAAACAGTGTTATCACAGTAACGTAGATTCAATTAAACACTTCAACTTTTCCTTCTACTATTTCTTCCAATTTTCGCTTAGAAAAGAGATGTATCTTGTCTCGGTTTCTAGAATTACTCTATATATTACGAATAATTCGAAGTAATCATTTCTCTATACATTTATAAATTTAATTTTAATATTATAATTACAACTGAGTAAAGATATACGATTGCTTCGCAGAGTGTCGATGAAACTCACTTGCGACAATGCGATTATTGACGTTGTACTGTTAAATTTAGAAAAAGGCATTACTGTTAATTTCCAGAATTTTTTGAACGTAAAGAATTGCGCCTGTGGATGGAACGTAGAGCCTCCCGTATCCGTATTACTAGGGAGACAAAAGTGGCCAAATAAGAGAATTTTCGGACGATAGAACAATCACATTTTTTTATACTAAACTTCATTTATTCAAATGGAAATCAACAAAATTGACACTTTGTTTAAATATTTAACCCTTTCATTACTATTGGCGCCTATAGGCGTTTTGAAAATTTCCTCGCGCGATAATTTAATACTTAATTTTATCCTTTTCGCACTTCCACCGCGCTTAATAAGCCGAATTTTAAAATGATACGGTCAAAATAATAAATTTTGCAGTCGTGGTTAAAAATTTACCGTCAGTCACCCACGTTATGCACTAAATTTCTGCCGTAGCGAATGGGTTAAGGATCCCATATTTTTTTGGTTGCCGTCCCATATACACTACCGGCCAAAAGTTTGGAATCACTGAGCATTGCAATTTACACAAAAATTTCCAGAAAATGTCAGCGACTTTGAGAATTTTTTCTCATCCGAATCAATTGATACGAGATAAATTGATAAATGTAGAATTGAGATAAACTTCAAATCTATAACAAATTAGCAGCAGATTTAATATTGATGAAAAGTGGTAGGGAATATTGATGAAAAGTGTACATAAGATTGTATGTAAATATCGCTACGAAATAGTTATTCGGATAACAACGTTCGCATATTAGTGTACACATTCGGATAATGGGGGTGCGGATACGGGAGGCTCTACTGTATTCGTAATTCGATTATTGAAATTTTGTTTTGCTTTGTTAAAGGTACACGAGAGTTAACGGTGGGAATGGACCGGATACGAAAACTTCGATTCACGCAGTTTTGGACTACGATGACGATTTTGACGATTACTACAGCGACGACGAGCCAGACATACCAAGGGACGCCCATGTCACACCTATTCAAGGCCCAATCTTTTTAAAGAACGGTTCGGTCCCTGTAGTGCCACTGTATTCTTATCCCCAACTGAACAATGGTACATTCGTGCAGATACCGGTAAGTTCGAAATAGCATTAGAATATTTCTCAGAAAGAGTACAAGTCAAATTTTGGTCAAACAGGATAAGTACGCTAATATATTCTACATTGCTTCCCTTTGCTTATGGTTCTAACAGTCCAAGTCAATTTCACTTCTTTCATGCTCCTTTACCTGAGATTTTAATATTACATGTCAAAAATGCAGTATAATGCAGTATATTATAAGTGCTTCTCTGCAAAGTTAATAATTCTGACTTATACTCTTTCGCCCGCCCATCAGAGATTTGATCCCTTCGCATCTAACGTTGAAAAATCCTCTCCATGGAACACATTTAAGCATAATTTCAATGATCTTGATTATTACTTGAATTATTTAATTTTGCTAGCTTAATTTTCAATTGTGCAATTATTTTATCATTGAGCGTAGAAAAAACAAGTATAAGATGTCAATAAAAATTAGATTAAATTTGAGATGGAAGTAAATATAACAGTTAAAACAGTCACATAAATATTTTGGCCTAACAACACATACAGGGTGTCCCGTAACTCCTCGAACACCCGGAAATGGGGGGTTGCTGAGGTGACTCTGAACAACTTTTTCCTTTACCAAAATGTTGTTTGAAGCTTCATTTTTGAATTATTAACGAAAAACACTGGCCAATCAGAGCGCGCGTAGAGCCCGCGCCCAGGCACGGGAGCGCTGGCTCTCATCCGCGCGCGATCGTGAACAAATGCGTACGCGTGACTTCTCGGTTATCGATCGCTGTCAAAAAATTTTGACTTTGCACCGCTATTTTTATAAGGCTTAGAGAAATGGTTTTTTGCCGTCATTCCCACGTTTGTATAAATTTTTGAAAAAATTGCAATTAGTCGGAATCGCGCGCGAATGAGCCTCTGTTCTTCGTCCCTGAGCGCGGGCTACCTATCTACCTACATTTTCTCATTTATGAATCAGTGTTATAATTTTTCAGTAAAAAGAAATCCCCAGTTTTACAATCTACGCTTAATTCATAAATTATTGTACACTGCTTTTCACATTACCTCCACACGTGAATTTTGTTCCGTCTAAAAGGTATTGTAATAACCATAAGAAGTGATGATAGTCTGGCGGAGATTTTACATTATATGGAGGAATTATTAAATCCTTATTTTTATATAAAAGCTGTTGGACATCAATGATATTGATCCTATGAATATCCAGAATTTAATAATTTAGAATTTGATTCCTATATAATTTCTTATATATTAATTGATCAATTTCGTTTATTGGATGTTGATAATCGTTTAATTTTTACTTCGGCGGATGTTATTCATTCTTGGGCTTTACAGTCCTTAGGTATTAAAATTGATGCTGTTCCTGGTCGTATTAATCAAGTTAATTTATATTCAAATCGTCCTGGTTTATTTGTTGGTCAGTGTTCTGTGAAATTTGTGGTATAAATCATAGATTTATACCTATTGTTTTGGAAAGAACAACTTATAAATTTTTTGTTGATCGAGTTAATAAAAGTTAATTGTTGTTTTTAGTTTAAATAATTAGTTAATATTATAATATTAAATTGTCAGTTTAATTAGTTAAAAATATAATATTAAATTGTCAGTTTAAAGTTAATAATTTATTTATTGTTATTTAAGAGTGTCATTAGATGTCTGAAGTGCAAGAATTGATCTTTTAAATCATATTATAGTAATAGCAATTACTTCTAATGAATCTTTTATTCCTCAGATAGGTCCTATAAGTTGATTGATTTTATCTTTTGTTGTTGATTAAAATAAATAAAATTGAATTTCCTGTTTTAGTTGAATTAGTTTATAAAAAATGAAATTGATTGTGGTAAGTAATTTGTTTGAAAGTTTTGATCCTATAGTTGGTAAATTTTGTTGTTTATCTTTTTCATTTCATTGATTTTCTCTATACTTGCCTTTTATTTTGTTTTTTATAACTTATTGATTTATTTACTCTCGAATTACAATTATTTTAGTAATTTTAGTTAAATTAATTTATAATGAATTTAATTTATTCTAACATTTACCAAACCAACGTTGGTATAAGTGCGAAATATTACGAAGTCAATATTTATTTCATACTTTTACCGACATTAATGAGAAAATTAAATGCAGAAGGTCAGGTTAGGTTAAAAAAATAGACAGCCTAACCTAAGCACTGCTATTATCTTCAGAAATTTAATTTGTTTTTAATAGTTTGTAACTATAATGTCAGTCAGTGTGACTGTATTTCTTAATCAATGTTAATAATATGTAATTTTGTCGTTTTACTATCAAAAGCAACTCTTACCAGGTGGCGGCGGTAAATCTGAACTTAAACCAATATAAATCGATAAGAGTCTGGAAACACAGATTGTTACGTTCAAATTGTAACTCTTGCCGCGAGTTATTGGAAAAACCTAACATTTTCCGGTATTCGGGCTTTAACAGTAACATGTGCATATGGAACATGCTCTAACACATTTTATATGCATAATTCAGTTCAGCTTACTCTTCTCGTATGTCTTTTGCTGTACGAGGTCGAGCATTGTCTTGCTAAATTTTGTTTTTTTAATTTTCATAGTAACCTTATTATGGCACTACTAGGTACCAACAGTTCAAAATACATCGCACCCTTTGTGTTCATTTTTAAATTACAAATTTCCTTACACAAAGGAATCATAAACCTGATCTGTATGTAGATAAAAAAATGTTACAATAGGGATTATCTAATCAGTTAGAGAATACTTAATACGGGTTTAATCGTAACGAGCAGTGTAACAAAAGAAACGCAAAGACTTAGTTTACAATTATAAGAAATAATGATACATATTTCATTGTAGACGCCTACCTGAGAGCGTAAGGTTTAAGAAAAATACGTTAAAACAAGTAATTTTATTAATCAGTAGCGAGCTGTGTAATGAAGTTCATCGTCTTTGTTTTAATCAACAATGCAAATTATTCTATTTGCTTTATAGAAGAATGGTACAATTGTATCGTTCACTTTTTAAGTTTGCTTCGTGTATGTGTTCTCTCAACATGAACCTGATAGAAACCGTAGATATTCTAAATTTTATCATAAAATATTTCTATGAACCATATAACACGAATAATTCTTCCATTAAAAATATAAGTCATTAATCGCAGAAAGCTATCGATAACTTTGATGTATTTATTAAATGCCCCTTTAATCACACTTTTATTGCTTTCTATTTAATTATTCTACGAATACTTTGTAATTACTAAATGCAGGCACGTTAACAAGTACACGAATTAAGCAACATACAATCTCTAAATTGTACGTACAAGTGTATAAGAATATGATTGCACTTATAGTGACAGTGTGACTTAATACTATTTCGTTCATGCAACTCTTACGAATGCTGAGTAACAATAGTGTGACTCATAAGCTGCTAGAGCGGAAGAATTCGTTGTGAGTAGAAAGTATACTGAGCTGTTCACGCACGAATTACGAGTGTAGAATATACAAGTAAATTTCATCAAGCTTAGACACATTGTACAATAAAATCTGATTTGTATCGAAGAACTCTCAGCAAATCGCTTGAACAACTGCGATCTCAAAATTAATAGGTCATCGTAGCGTTTAGCGGGTAATCGAGTGAAACGCTTCAAAGAAAGTCAAAGTTCAATTTGAAACGTAACAATTTCATCAGTTATCCACAATTAATGTTCAACGTAAGATCATCTGTCGAAAAAGTATACTGTAGCGAAAAAATTGTCTTCATTTTTGGCTGACCTAAAATTCTCCATGAAAAATTTTTTAAAAAATGTGTGTACACTTGATTGTACACGATATAATCGGAATAAATAGAAACAATTAGAGGTAAGAGTTTCACTTTCGTCAGTCGAGTAAAGCTTACCAGAACTACTATCGACAAGAGTTGCATGTATGTATATAGTTTGTTCCTCGAAGACGACACAGTCGGTCTCGTACTTAAAAGAGCGTGGCCTGCGTTCGAGCATTGTTCGAAAGGTAATCGAACGCGGCCGTGGCTACAGGAACATTCAAAGTCTATATCATTGGCGTGACATTTCTCTGCAGCACCCATGACCCCAAAGTATCTTCCCTAGAATCTCGCAAATGTACGATCTATTCGGTGCTATGTATTTCGCTTATACCTGCTCAGCTGTTTCCCACGTATCGTCTTCTATCTCTGGACCGGTTCGTTTCTCAATCTCTCATTGTGATTTCGCGGTTCGTGCGAATTTCCGCAACAACGTTGCTTTTAAGGTCAATCGGTGCCGACATTGAAACCGGTAACCCCTTGACCATCGCTCCATCACTTGTTAGTTCCTTTCGAGCGATTAGCCAGCTCACGTTTATTCGTTCTTCAATTATAAATTGGTATTTATTCAATTTCACGTACTTAACCCTTTCGCTACGACGGATTTTAATGCACAACGTGGGTGACTGACGGTAAATTTTTAACTACGGCTGCAACATTTATTATTTTGGCTGTATCGTTTTAAAATTCGGCTTATTAACCCCTTAACATATGATTACTTTTCTGACCACGCATGTAAGCGTCGGCCATTTAATGTTTCAGTACTGCATCAGGTAACAAAAGCTGTTACAGATTAATTGCATTTAGGAATTCTTAATCTTACAAGTTGAAACGAAAGTTTTTACAATTAATTTTTCTTACTAATGTAACTATTTTTGTCACATCTTCACCAGAATCTCTGCCACGAGTCTGACACGATGTTGTAGGTTATTTTGACGTACTTCCATATTAATTTCATCCTCTGCACTCTTCTACGTAAATTCAATCAAACAAATTTTAAAACTACACGGTTGAAGAAGAAAATTTTCCGACTATTGTGGAACGTCTGAATCTGCCACGCGCGTTATGTACTAAAATTTGCCATAGCGAAAGGGTTAAGTGCGGTAGAAGTGCGTAAAGGATAAAATTAAATATTAAATTATATAAATTAATATTAAT